CATAAAATTAAATAAATAGATTATATACGTTAGATCTAGGGTCAATAATGATAAGTTAGGACAGCTTGCTATTACAGAGCCTAAATTTAATGCGTTCTTAGAATCAATGTATTTATAGCTTTTAGTAAATGAATTTATTATTAAAAATGATATGAAAAGTAAAAAGCATGAAAATTAATTATTCTTTTAAAAAATTATTCTTTCTTAAAAGAAATACTAAACAAAAATTTTGAGGCTTTTCTAATTTAATTTTTATAGAAATAAATAGGATTATAATAAAAGTAAATAAATAAAATTTTAATAATTACACTAAATTAATATGGAGTTTTTTTTCTGTATATTGACAAGAGTCTAGAAACTTTAGATTTGTTAAAATAAATTAAAGAATTAGTTAACTAATAAAAATTGTTATTACATCTCTCAGATCATTATAATAACATTTCTGTTTAATCATATTTTTAATTTTGATTAATTAAGTAAGTCTAAATTTGTTTGCTTTAGCTATTTATTAATTTTAAAATCAAATATTTAAAAATAAAAAGGAAAGAAATACTAAATGAACATCTTCTAATCAAAATTTAAATCTTTGAAAAATTAAAAATATAAAATTGTAAAAGAAATATCTTTATTTCTAATTAAAATATTCATTTCCTGAAAGTCTATACTATATATTGAATAAATAATTAAAATTTTAATTAAAATTCTAAAAAAGAAATAAAAATAAATACAAATGTCTAATAAAACCAAATCATTCACGAATACTGTAGAAGTAAATTAGCAAAATGATTAAATTTTAGTTAATTGAAATTTTTTATTAAAGTTTTTAAACTCTGAGTTAAATTTGCATACTAACCTTCACTTTGATTTCAAGTAAAATTTAATATTTATCATTTCTGAAAACTTAATTAATTAATTAATTTACCAAAAAACAAACAACTTATTTTTAAAGTTATTATTATTTATTTTAAAATAAAATAAAAACTTTATTATTATAAATTTATCATTTTAATTTAATTTTACTTTAATAAAAAATTAGTGAAATTGTATTTGAAGAAGAATAGTTTTCACTTTTCTGTGCTAATTTATAGAAATGTGTAAATCTATAAATAATCAGTCTTGAATTAGAGTTATTATTATTATTATTATTTATTAATTTATCTAAATTAATTTCATTCATTTTGTTTAAAAATATTTTTTCAGAACCAACTTAATCAAATTTTAATAATAAATAATAATTAATTTAGGTTCGACAAAATAAGAGCTTAGCATGCAAAATATTTAGGAGCTGCCTTGAATAGCTGCACAAAATTAAATACTTTGAAAATCAATTTACAGTTAACAATATTTTAAACAATTAGATAGCTTTAAACTCAATATTTCATTATCAAAAAAGCTAAAATTAAATTTAAGATGAAGGCTTGACAATTTTGTGTTCTTCTTTGACCACTCTTAAAAGTATTTCAAATTTTGAGCTCATTGTTCAGTAAGTGTTTTATTTTTATTTTTTATATTATTAAAAATATTAATTTTTAAGACAATTAAAATGCAATAGAATTAATTTTTTTAGCTTTAAATTTAATGAATTTCTTTTTATTGTAAAAACTTTCATTTATTAAAATAATTAAAAGGTTTAATTTGTTGAACAACTAATGTGGGGCTGCTTTTTTTACTCTTTTCTCAGAAATTAGTTAAAGTCTGAAGACATTGAATTTAGATCTAAGGTATCTCTTTATCTATGAATATTTAGTTTTCTAATTTCAAAGAAATCTTATAAGAAAAAAAATTAAAAAATTAAGTTAATCTTTAGGCATAATTAAAATTCCATGCATACATAATATGCTTTATTAATTTACTTAAAAAATATCTGATCAGATTATTTTTTAATATGAAATTTATTCTTTATTTTTGCAGAAATAATTTTTTAATTTTATTTCATGGTTTAAAATTATTAATTATAAAAGCAATAATTAAATTGGAGATGAAGGAGTCAGTGCTCTAGGAGAAGCAATATTAAATTGTTAACAGTTGAATAATTTGTAGTTAAATTTAAAGTAATGAAATATCTTATTATTATTTTATTCTAATAATTAAATAGTTCATTAAAGAGTTATGTTTTTAATATAATTTGAATAGCTCAAATAAAATTGGTAAATAGGGTGTAGTCCAATTGTACTCAACACTAGCAAAATGCATCTGTCTTAACATTCTAAGCATTTAATTGAAGTAAAAACTATTTTTTCGTATTTCAAATAAAAAAAACTATAATTTATATTATTATTCAAATAATAAGAACCTTTTTTAATGTTTTAATCAAGGAAAAATTAAATTGGCGATATAGATTTTAAAGATTTTAGTTGTTAGAAAAACAGTTTCAGTAAACTCTCTAAATTAACTTTAGACGTTAGGTAGAACATTTTTGACAAGATTTAAATAGAATTTATTAGTCCAAATCCTCTTTCTCCCTAAATTATGTTTTGATTTTAGCTTGAAATCTATCAAATAATACAAAAACAATTTTTGATTTAAATAAGTTAAAATTATGAATTAAATATTTAAATTTTATTTTAAATTTAATAAATATAAAAAGATTTTTAGGATTTTAATAGTATTAATGCTTAAAATAAGTTAGTTATTTATTTATTTTTCTATTCTGTAAATTAAAAAAGCGATACAAATATTGGATCAAATGGAGTGTCTGATTTATGTCAGTCTTTAATTAGTTATGCTAATCTTTAAAATTTATCTTTAACTATTGAGTAGAATTTATTTATTTTTATTAACAAATTTATTAATTCAACTCTTGCTTAATTTGAAAGTTTTGAAACTGATGTTCCTTTTTTATCAAATTGACTTATAAATTATTAAATTTAAAGTGAGAATGCCATAGGTCCTGATACATCTTTAATTATCGGATAAAGCTTAGGAAAATGCTAACATCTACAGGAATTATTTTTAAGTTTACAGTAAAATTTTATTTTTTCTTGAAATTAAATTAAATTTATTATGTTAATGTTTTACTATTTTTTTATATAAAGCAATAACTTTGTTTTACAAGATTACTCAAATTTAATTCAAGGACTGACTTATTCTTAAAGTCTCTTTAATCTTCATATATTTCTAGGGTAAATCACTTCAAATTTTACATATAGATTGATAGATAGATGTTGATTTTTTTTATTTTAGTCAATAATTATTTTATTAATAAATTCAGTAAAAGATTTCATTCTTAACTTTACATTTAATTATATTTTATTAGTTCAAATAGTATTGATGCAAAAGGTGTGCTTAATATAGCTAGTGCTTTGAAAGGCTGTTAGAATTTATCATCTTTATTCATTGATTTTTAGTAAAAATTACATTTAAACATTGATAAAAATATAATAAATAGTCTTCTGTTTAAATCAATAAAAGATATTTTAATAATTAACTATTTTAAATTAAAAGGTAAAATAACATTTAAAACGAGGGGCTCAGTAGTTTAGCTCATACTTTAGAAGTTTGCTAGAATCTACAAAAAATAAACCTTTCCCTTTGGTAATAATTACTTACTTACTGATTTTTTGATATTTAAAGCTATTTTTTTAGATCATTAACTAATTAAATATATAGCCTTATTTATTTTACTAAATAAGTTAGAATAACATTGGCGATAAAGGTGTTTCCAGCTTAGGTTTATCTCTATAGAAGTGCCTCAACCTTTCTATATTAAATTTAGACTTTTAGTACATTACCAATTTATTTGATAAATATATTTGAACTCTTATTATAAGAAACTGATTAGTAATTTATATTAATTCAAAAAAATTTAATTAAAGTGAGAATAATATCGGCTCAGAGGGTGTTAAGCAACTCGGGCTTTCACTTGCTAGTTGCAAAAACTTGATCAAATTAGAGCTTTATTTAATGTAACTTTTTAAAAAAATTTATATAATTTAGAAACTCAAAATAAATAAATAATTAAATTTAAAAAGATCAAACGAGATAAAAAACGATGGAGCCTGCTTTTTAATTTCTCAGTTGGGAAATTGTTCAAAACTTAACAATTTATAACTTGATTTAATGTAAAAAAAATATAAATTTATTTTATAAAACTAAAATAATTATAAAAAGTTATTAACTTTCATTTTTTATACATTTTTTTAAAAATAATAAAATTTTCTTATTTAAAATACTTAAATAATATATAGTTACAATAAAATAGATGATTAGACAAGTAATAAGTTACATTAAAAAGTAAGAAAGATTAAGAAATTAGTAATTCTTTTTTACTAAGACAATTGAATATATTGAATATGCATTTATTAATTAATCAACCATATAATTTAATATTGTATAAATGTTTATTTTTTGTTGTTTAACTTGTCATTTTAAGCAAAATAGAAATAAATAAATAAATAAATAAATATCTTATTTAAATAATAATTAAAATTCTGTTTAAAATGAAAGTCTTAATTAAAATTTTATTTATTTAAAATTTCTTGAGCTAGAAACCAATTTAAATTTTTAAATACCTTTTTTATCTAATAAAATAACTTGTAAATTTTACCTAATTAATTTTGGTGTGTGTTTGGAAATCAATTAAAATTAAATATGTTAATTTTATTCATTAATAATTAACAAAAATTTTATAAAGCATAAAAATTAAAATATAATATTAAAATATAATTTTATATCTATTATTAGACATTAACTATCTCAAATCAAATTATTTTTTTTAGAATAATTTTGAAAAATATTAATTCCAAATGAGTTTATTTTTTTCATTCATAATAAACTAATATTTTATTTAAAATTTTGATGGATAGAATAAGTAAGTGTTGTAAGTAAGTAAGTAAGTAAGTAAGTAAGTAAGTAAATCAGTCAGTGAGTCAATTAAGTGGTAGAACTGTGTTAAGTAACATATATTAATAACATGTAAAAGTTAATAATTTAAAATTTTAATAAAATTTAAAGAAAATAAAATATGGTTGTTTTAATAAAGCATGAATATAGGCTTTTAATACATATTTATTGGCTTAAAGTAAATTTGTTAATTCTATGAATAGAATACATAAAAAATTAAAAATTAAATAATTATTAAAAATGAATACACACAAGTATAAGTAATGATCATATAAATTTAGATATGAAATACATAAATAAAATTGATTTTAAAGAATTTATTTAATTTGTATTATTATTTATTAATTCTCATAAACAAAGTTCTTTTTTAACTAACCTCTTCATTTTCTAAATCTTATAACTTAATTTATTCTTTTACGCATCATCGAGGTTATTAAAACTTTTTATATATTTTATAAAAAAATATATAAGTAAAGTTGAATAAATAAGATAAAACAATAGAGAAAATAAACAATTGAAATGTTAATAAGCTTCAAATAACTAATGAAATTCGTTACAGACTGAGTATCAATGTTTAGAGCCTAATATTTTTGCATAAACCAGAGCCTAGGTATTAAACAACTTCATGAGCACCTATTAGATTCCTCCTTTTGATTTTTTAGATTAAAATAAAAGAATTATTTAAAATTTTAATTAAATATTAATTAATAAATAATCTTAAAGCAAACATAAAACTTGTGAGAACGCTTTAATAATAATTGCTTACAAATACAAATAAATCATTTTTACGCAAATCCAAAATGGAGATAATAGAGATTCTTACAGTTTGCAAAAGCAAAACATAAACTTTGCACACCCTGATCACCAATTTAATTCTCGCTTTAAATTTTGAAGATAGAATTTTAAAATAAATAAATAAATAGAAATATAATTTCTAAATAAGCAAGAAAAGTAAAATCAGAAATTAAAGTTTTTATTGATTAAACATTAAATTAAGTAAGCAAATAATAAATTAGTTTTTTTTACTTAAGGCTGAGTACTAATTAAGAGAGGTTAGGGAAGCTTATTAGACAAGAACTTAAATCTGATATGCCCTTATCGCCTATTTAATTATTGCTTTTATGGTTAATTACATTGGTTAGTTAGTTTGTTGTTATCAAAATTAAAAAAGTGATCAAATACTTTAAAAATATCAAGTTTATAAATAAATCTAAAATATTTTTACTTAAGGTTGAGAGTTAAACTTGATAGATAAGGGCACATTTTTAAAGCAAAACCCAAGTTTGAAATTCCCTATGGACCAATTTTATTATTGCTTTAATATTTTTCAAATGAATGTGTTCATTCATATTCATCAAAAAAAAAGAAAAAAAAGTTAAAAAAATATATTGTTTAAATATTTAAAATGTTGATAAACAAATTAAAATTGAAAATAACATAAAAAACTATTCTAAAAATAAAAGATTAAGAAAATAATAAAAAATCTAGTAAATTTATTTATATATTTGGTATTTTACTATAGATAGATCTTAAATTTTTTGAGTTAACTACAATTCGTTAAAGTAAATCCTAAATTTGATATTTGTTAATCACCAATATTATTTTCCCTATAAATTAATTTAAAATATTTTTTATTGAAAATATAAAAAAATAAGAAGAAATACAAATTAAAGTTATTCATATTTAAATTTTAATATAAATATGAGGAAATTGAAATTATATAAAACTACTGCAATTTATCCTAAAGAACTAAAATATAAATTATATAGAAATAAAATAAAAAATTTATTTATTTGATTAATTAATTAAAAATATTGTTGATATTTTAACTATCCATAGCAATAAAATTTACAATAAAGTAAGAAAAATAAATAAAATTCTTACTCTAAGTAGAGTGTTATAGATGAAAGATTTCTACAATTTGCAAGAGAAGAATAAATATTTTGAGGGCTCTATTCATCAACTTTGCAGCTTTTAAAAATTATTTTATGTTTTAATTTAAAATAAAAAAATTATATTTTATTTAAATAATAAATAAATATATAAATAAGTAAATAAATATATATTTTTACTCAACCCAGAGTTCTAGTTTGTTAAGATGTATGCATTTCTCTAAATTTGAAATTAAGTTTGATACACACTAAGCATCTATTAAGTTGTAACTTTATCAAATTAAATTTTTTTATAATTAAAAACATAAAAAATAGAAAAGCTTTAAAATATTAATAATGAATTTTAAAGAAATAAAAACGAAAACAAATTTTAAAAGATTAAATTATTTATTTATTTACTTATTGGATATAATTAATTGCTGCTCTTTTAAAAATAATGAATGACACAAAACATAATAAGGAATAAAAAAAGTAAAAAGTAAATGAATGAATATTATTACTAGAAGTCTATGTTTAAAGATTAGAGATTGTGGCAGTTTGCTAAAGCAGGACCTAAGCTAGATACACCTAAAGAGCCAAATTCATTACTCCTTTTAATTAGTAATAAAACATTTATTTTTAAATGAAATATATTTTAGCAATCATCAAAATCAATTCTAAACATTTTTAATTTAAAAAATACACAAAAAAACTTTACCTAAGCACAAGATTTAATTTTGACAGATTATTGCAATTTTTTAAAATATCACTTAAATTTTATAAGTCCTCATCATTTATTTTTTAGGATCTTTTCATATTATTTATTTTCCATTTTTTTGTAAAAATAGTAATTAAAGATTAAAATATTTAGAGTAAACAAAAATATTATGTTATAAATAAATATTGAATATGATTTTATTCATTAATTGAAGACAATATTATTTATAAACTATTAAGGTAATTATTGTTGTGTTATTTTAATTATTTACTTTAAAGAAAGTATAACTTTTGTGTGAGATGATGGCTCAGAGGTTAAAAACTTTTTATAAAATAAAATATTATTTTAAACTATTGTAAAGAGTTAAAAATAAAAAATTACATCTTTAAGATTTTAAAACTATTGTATTTCCTGCTTCATTTTTTCTTTTTAAACAATATTCAACTTTTAATAAATTTTTTAATAAATAAATCTTGCTTTAGTTTTCAAATAAGCTTTTAGTATTTTAAATAAATTAATCTGGGCCATAAAATTTTACCTTGGCAATAAAGTAATTTTAGGCAAAAATGATATTATGTATGTATATAAGTGTTAAAATATAATTTAAACTCATAAAACTATAAATTGCATGTTATTAAACAAAACATTGTAAATCCTCTTAGTATCATTACAGTTTTAAGAAATTAAAAAGAAATTGACAAATTCATACTTATTATTTATTTGTATGTAATTTTAATTAACTTTTTTAATTGAAAAAAAAGAAAATAAATTGATTATTTTTTGTTTTTTTTATTTGATTAAAATCTTTCATTCATAAAAAATAAATACATTAAAAAAACAGAAAATTAATTAATTAAACGATTTGCATTTTTCTAGAATATTTAGAGAACATTTTTTTATATAAAATAAGATAAGCATTTTAAAATTTATAATTCCACATTAATAAAAAATTATAAAAATTCTTGATATGAAATAAACTTTTTAAAGCCAAATTCAACATTAACAACTTTTAAATTGATTAATTTACTCTAAATATTATTGAATAAAAAAATTAAATTTGTAAAATCTGAATGAATAAATGATAATTTAATAAACAATTATTTTATGATTTTTAAAAATATAAAATGATAAAAATGATAATAAGATAAATTAAAAATTTGAGAAAAAAAAACAAAAATAAACATTATAAACAAAAAAGTTAAAATAAAAAGTAAATCTTGATTTCTCCCTGAGGTTTTAATTAAATCATGACATCTAATTAATCAAGATAAATAAAAAAAAGATAAAAAATATGATTGAAACATAATATTTAAGATTAAAATATAACTGGCATATAAAGTTTGGTATTTATATAATTTAATAAGATGTAAAAAAACAATAAAAGTTTCAAATTGTTTGATCGTTTTTGGAGAAACCAGAGAGTTTGCTTAAGAGCATTTATTTTTTATTTTTTATATATAATTTATTTACTTACAAAAATATGAATGATATTTATAAATATAAAATGAATAATAAAATCTATTTATATTGTTATTTTAGGTTTAAATTTTTTTCAAAATATTATATAATAAAATATATAATATTATTCAAACATTTTATATTTATTTCATCTTTTTTCACCAGTTGTTTATCATTTGAAATCAAAGACAACTAATCTTTTTGATTTACGACACTTTCTTATTTTTTTGAATAATTAATATTCATCCATTGAGTTAGAACTTTTATAATAAATTTGTGTAAATTATTAATAAATATCAAAATAGAATAAACTTTTAAATTAAAAATTATTCTTTAAATTAATAAATAAAATAATATTAGTTGAATAAAAAAGATAAAAAAATAAAATAAATAAACCTATCAAATAAATTCAAAGAGCTTTTTTGTTTTATATTCATTTTTTTTGTTTAAAATATCACAATTCAAAACAAATAAACTGTTTTTACCGAAGGTCAAGTGTCAAATTTGAAAGATTAATGCAATTTGCTAAAGCAGAACATAAGCCTGATGCACCTTCATCACCAATTTTACTGTAACTTTTTAAATATTGAAGAAAAAATATATCATTAAATAGTTAATTAGAAGGAAAAAATGAAGAAAAAATTTGAAATAATAAGATTAATTAATTGATAATTAAGGCAAAATTTGAAAAGAAAGTGATGAGCTAAATTAACAAAGAAAGAAAGAACAAAAAAAGCAAGCACAATAAAAAGAAAAAGAAAAAAGAGCTTTGTTGTTTTAAATTAGTTCTTATAATTAAAAATATCACAATCCAAACAAATAAACTGTTTATACTAAAGCTAAAGTGTCAAATTTGAGAGATTAATGCAATTTGCTAAACCAGAACCTAAGCCTGACGCACCTTCATCACCAATTTAATTTTCACTTTTTAAATATTGAAGAAAAAATATATCACTAAATAGTTAATTAGAAGGAAAAAATGAAGAAAAAAATTTGAAATAATAAGATTAATTAATTGATAATTAAGGCAAAATTTGAAAATAAAGTGATGAGCTAAATTAACAAAGAAAGAAAGAACAAAAAAAGCAAGCACAATAAAAAGAAAAAGAAAAAAGAGCTTTGTTGTTTTAAATTAGTTTTTATAATTAAAAATATCACAATCCAAAACAAATAAACTGTTTTTACCTAAGGCCAAGTGTCAAATTTGAGAGATTAATGCAATTTGCTAAAGCAGAACCTAAGCCTGATGCACCTTCATCACCAATTTTATTGTAACTTTTTAAATATTGAAGAAAAAATATATCATTAAATAGTTAATTAGAAGGAAAAAATGAAGAAAAAAATTTGAAATAATAAGATTAATTAATTGATAATTAAGGCAAAATTTGAAAATAAAGTGATGAGCTAAATTAACAAAGAAACAAAGAACAAAAAAAGCAAGCACAATAAAAAGAAAAAGAAAAAGAAAAAAGAGCTTTGTTGTTTTAAATTAGTTTTTATAATTAAAAATATCACAATCCAAAACAAATAAACTGTTTTTACGTAAGGTAAAGTGTCAAATTTGAGAGATTAATGCAATTTGCTAAACCAGAACCTAAGCCTGATGCACCTTCATCACCAATTTTATTGTTACTTTTTAAATATTGAAGAAAAAATATATCATTAAATAGTTAATTAGAAGGAAAAAATGAAGAAAAAAATTTGAAATAATAAGATTAATTAATTGATAATTAAGGCAAAATATGAAAATAAAGTGATGAGCTAAATTAACAAAGAAACAAAGAACAAAAAAAGCAAGCACAATAAAAAGAAAAAGAAAAAGAAAAAAGAGCTTTGTTGTTTTAAATTAGTTTTTATAATTAAAAATATCACAATCCAAAACAAATAAACTGTTTTTACCTAAGGCCAAGTGTCAAATTTGAGAGATTAATGCAATTTGCTAAAGCAGAACCTAAGCCTGATGCACCTTCCTTACCAATTTAATTTCCACTATTTAAATATTGAAGAAAAAATATATCATTAAATAGTTAATTAGAAGGAAAAAATGAAGAAAAAATTTGAAATAATAAGATTAATTAATTGATAATTAAGTCAAAATATGAAAATAAAGTGATGAGCTAAATTAACAAAGAAACAAAGAACAAAAAAAGCAAGCACAATAAAAAGAAAAAGAAAAAGAAAAAGAAAAAAGAGCTTTGTTGTTTTAAATTAGTTTTTATAATTAAAAATATCACAATCCAAAACAAATAAACTGTTTTTACCTAAGCTAAAGTGTCAAATTTGAGAGATTAATGCAATTTGCTAAACCAGAACCTAAGCCTGATGCACCTTCATCACCAATTTTATTGTAACTTTTTAAATATTGAAGAAAAAATATATCATTAAATAGTTAATTAGAAGGAAAAAATGAAGAAAAAATTTGAAATAATAAGATTAATTAATTGATAATTAAGGCAAAATTTGAAAAGAAAGTGATGAGCTAAATTAACAAAGAAAGAAAGAACAAAAAAAGCAAGCACAATAAAAAGAAAAAGAAAAAGAAAAAAGAGCTTTGTTGTTTTAAATTAGTTTTTATAATTAAAAATATCACAATCCAAAACAAATAAACTGTTTTTACCTAAGGTAAAGTGTCAAATTTGAGAGATTAATGCAATTTGCTAAAGCAGAACCTAAGCCTGATGCACCTTCATCACCAATTTTATTGTAACTTTTTAAATATTGAAGAAAAAATATATCATTAAATAGTTAATTAGAAGGAAAAAATGAAGAAAAAAATTTGAAATAATAAGATTAATTAATTGATAATTAAGGCAAAATATGAAAATAAAGTGATGAGCTAAATTAACAAAGAAACAAAGAACAAAAAAAGCAAGCACAATAAAAAGAAAAAGAAAAAAGAGCTTTGTTGTTTTAAATTAGTTCTTATAATTAAAAATATCACAATCCAAAACAAATAAACTGTTTATACTAAAGCTAAAGTGTCAAATTTGAGAGATTAATGCAATTTGCTAAACCAGAACCTAAGCCTGATGCACCTTCATC